TATTTTTATGGGTAGTTAATTATTACTTCAAAGTTAAAAATTTAAATATTATTTTCTTTATATTACATATTTATATTGTAGTATTTTATTACAACTAAAAATTATTATTTTTATCTTATTTCATATATTTTTATAATATTTCATAGTTTATTAGTTATTAGTTTATTACTAACAAAAAATGTGTACTTAAAATATTTAGGTTATTTTTAATTTTTTTTTTTGGTATTTTATTGTTTATACGTATTTTTAAATTTAATTAAATTTAAATTATTTATTTATTTATTATTGTGATTACTTTAATAAAATTATATTCAGAACATTTTATTTTATATCCAGTATCTAAATTTATAGCTTTTAATTGGTCACTTTATCATGACTGATATTACTTTGCCGAATTTAAATTCTTATTCTTGCATTCAGTGGCTGTTCAATTATAACATATTATACATTTTTCTTACCAAATGTTCACCCTATATGTTATATAATATGTATGTAATAATTAGTATTTATATACTAGACAAATTTAAACTAACATTGGAATTTATWGAATTCTTACCAATATTATATGTATCCCAAAATGTAACTTGTAATCATATCCATGTATTTTTYSTTGGCCTTATTAACTATTAAACCCATGTTTTGACTTTGAATATTTTCTTCGCATTAGTTTTTATTTCATTAATAGAAATGTTCCYAAAATGGCTATGTCATCTGTGTATGCTAGTATTTATCTCAACTAATTCAATTTATCGTATTTCTTGTGTGCCACTTATAATTTTTCCAAGGAAAGATTAAACAGCATCGGAGATAGTGCTTCTCCCTGCCTTAAGCTGGTTTTACATTAAAATGCTTTAGAGGTCTCCCCCATGAAACGCACTTAGAAGTATGTCTGTTGGTTGCAAATATCAACTAGTCTCACCAGTTTTCATGGTGTCCCGAAATATCTTAGTGCTATCCAGAGCTGTTCACTATCAATACTGTCGTATGCTAGCTTGAAGTCTACAGAAAGAATGTGAAGGTCTTTATTACATTCATAGAATTTATCCATTAGTAGTTTTTTGATAAGATATAATTCGTTGTAGACTTTTCTCTTTTGAATCCAGTTAGATACCCTGTTAAGATGTCTTCTGCATATGCTTCTAATATTTTTAGCAATGTCATCGAAGAAATGTTGTAAGCTGCATCTAACAGGGAAATCCCACGATAGTTTAATACCATCCTAATGTCTCCTTTCTTGAATATTAAACAAATTATTCCTGTTTTCCAATCAGTTATGAAACTGTTCCTTATGCCATATTTATCAAATTAGGGATTTTAATTCTATAAATATRTATTTTCTTGCTGTCTTGAATAATTCCGAGTTTATATCATCTTCTCCTGGAGTTTTATTATTTTTAAGATTTGCGATAATATTATCTATCTTTGTAAGATCAGGTTCCTTGCATTCTGGTTCAGCCGTTTTATAGATCAGTTTTTTATATTTTGGTTTAAGTGCTGTTATTGTTTGACTCTTAGTAAGTAGCGTATTAAAATGTTTTCTAAAATGTTCTATATCTCTTGGTTCCAGAAGGAGATCATTTAGATTATTTTTCAAGAAGAACGTTTGTAGTTTAAAATCTTGTCTAAGTATGTGCAGTGTTGGAAAAACTTCCATGGATTTTTCCCATTTTCTTAAATTTCTTCGAGTATTTTTTTCTCATAATATAGTCTTTTTTGTCTCCTAATTGTATTGTTTGATAGCTCCTTAAAATGCTTGTATCTCCCTTGATTTTCTTGTGATGGATTGTGTATTATTTGCATGCGAGTCTCTTTACTGCTTCCATATACTCATTATTGAACCAGTGATATATTTCTCATTGCGATTGGATTTCAC